TACATATTTAGAGACAAATCCTTTATTTTAAGCCCTAGTTGTGGATAAAGTTGGTGTCTGTAATTGTTTCCACATTTTCTGCAACCTGCAGGTTTTAAAGCTTGGGTTACAACCTCTGTAACTGCCTGCAACTATAATTATGATGACTTAGTATCAAAAATGGAAACACATAACTGCAAAATGGGATTTATTGTTTTTAAATAAAATCATTAATTAAAAAATTTTTTTTGCAGGGCCATCTTTAGTTGTGGACCACAGCACCAGTGAATTCTGAACTTTGTTTTGGGAAATAAGATATCTGTGAATAATTTATTCAGTATTAAATATTGGAAAGAATTTTATACCAATGTCTATTAGTAAAGTCAAGAATTATCCGTTTATTTATTAGTTTAGAAACATAATATATATATGCATAACTTTTATCTACTTCTAGAATAATAATAAAAACATTAATATTGTAATTACAGGAAAGAAATTATTATAACAGTAAAGAAGGAGATGAGAAATTACAGTAATCAAAATCCATTATTATTTTTTAATTTAAATAATATCTTCTTGATCCTCTGAAATATTTTTATTGATTTTACAATATTCTTTAGAAATAATAAAAATCATCATCCAAATAATGTGTGTCAAACTTAATATCAAACTTGCTCTTTTTGATTTACTATAAAATAAAAATTGGTTATAAAAAACTTTCTTTAAAAATCAATCTAATTAATATATTAAAGATGTACTTACACAAAAAAATCAATTATTGCAAAACTCAAAATTGGATAGAGTGACCAATTAGAAGGTAAATATGGTGAACAAGGAGACACACATGTAATAACCTAAAATGCAAAAAAAAATTAAAAATTAAAAAAAAGCAAATCCTTTCATTTCTGACAAAAAAAAAAGCAAAAAATGACCTTGACAAAAAAGATAAAAATTTTAAAAATTTGACTCCATAAAATTTTTTTAGATATTTGAGAGTAAAGCACATTAATCAAATAAGTAAATTTATATGTTGGAGTGGATGGAGGTAATATCCAAAGTACAGCCTTCTTATCATTATTATCCTATTATTTTTTAAATAATAATAAAATTTAGTATTCATATTCATGTAATCTTACAATAATTTATAATCACAGAATGTATTTATACTAACAATTGTATCAAATAATGATGATGATTCTGGTAATTCAACATTTTCTTCAACATTTCCAATTCGTTCATTAACATTAGGATGTCTTAATCGTAAATTTGAAGAAATTATTTCATTTTTCAATAAATTTTTATTGGCAAATTCCTCAACTAATAATAACACAACAATGGTAAAAACAATATAATTAACTTTGTCACCAATAATTTGATTTCTGATTTACCTATAATTTCTTCTTTTTCAATTAAACTTGATAAGTTGCCAGTATCTGATGGAATTTTTGAAGCTTCAATACTGCTAGTGCCCAATACATTGTTATCAATAATAATAGATTCAGAAGATGTTGAATTTGATGCAGCTGCTGGTATATCTGAACTAGATATTGTTGAAGCTCCAAATTTATCAACAAACACTGATTTCTATCATTGATTAATTAAAAATATTTAATATTAAAAATATCTAACAAATAAATAAACATTTTTTTAATATTTATTTTTAAATAAACCCAACTGCATCTCTAACATTGAAGCTATTCTGTATATCTTCAATAGATTTTAATATTTCATCACATAAAGGTCTATCCTTTGAATTACGTGATAATAATCTTTTAATTAAATTCCTTATTTGTGAAGGAATTTTACGTTCATGAATGAATGTATTCTTATTTTCAGGGAATGAAGCTCTGAAAACAAACATAGAGTATTACATAAAGTTTTTTTTAAAAAAAAGAAGAAAATCACTAGAAATATTTACATACAGGTTAAAATCCAATATTTCCTGTTTCAAAAGGTCAACATCATCCACATGATGATATGGAAGTCGTGAATAACATAAGTAATAAAGAACCATTCCAAGTGACCATATATCAGATTTTGGAGAGTAATCTTTTAGATATTTTCCTTTGTCATCAACTAAAATTTATATAATTTTTTTAATAAAAAAATTTATTCCAATGATTATTTTTTTCTCCAAAAAAAAAATATAATAATAATTTAAATATACCAGTGACTAATTCTGGAGCCATAAATTCAAGGGTTCCTGTTGCTCCAGTTCGATCACGTTCTGTAAGTTGATCTAATACTTCACATTCTCCAAAGTCAGAAATTAAAACACTTGGACTAAATTTAAATAATTATAATAATAAAGTATAAATATTTTTATTAATCTTTAATCAGACAACTAATTAATACAAACATGCCAGCTCTATCATTTGGATTATTGTAATGTAACAAAAGATTTGATGGTTTCAAATCCCTATGGACAATACCATGTCTGTGTAAATGAGCCAGTCCTTTACAAATATCCATAAATAAAGACCATATTTCATGAAGTTCTAGATAACGTATTGAAGATCTTGTTTCCCTGTTATTAAAATTATGACGACCACTGCCATCAGCAGCTCTCTTCATTCGTCTTTCCCTCAACAAACGTTCTTTTGGTGTGAAGGTTGTGGAAAACATGTTGGCAAAGGTGAGTGAGATTTTCTTCCTTTTTTTACAAAGAAAATATTTCTCATATAATTAATAATAAAAATCTCGTTATATATTTAAACAAATAAAAAGGTGTTCGATATAATGCAGAAAAGAAAAAAGTCGGGAATTATTATAGTACACCGATTTATAGTTTTCGAATGAAATGTCATTTATGTGATAATTGGATTGAAATTCAAACCGATCCAAAGGTTAAACATCAACAATTGTAATTTTTTTATTTAATTTTTTGGATAAAAATATAAAATAATAGTTTATTAAAGGTAAATATTGATTTATAGAATTCGGAATATGTTGTTGTTAGTGGAGCACGCCAAAAAGTTGAAACATGGGAACCTGAAGATACTGAGACAATAAGACTTAAAGGTGATTTTTTTATTTGATTAAAAAAAAATACGGAGAAATTTATTAACACACCAATTAATTATTATATATTGATAGATGATAAAGAAGCAGAGAAATTAATTGATGATGCTATATATAAACTTGAGCAATCAGTAAAGGATGAACAAAAATTAAAACAAGAAATTCCAAAATTAACACAACTTCAAGTATATATATATATATATACACATTTACATTTATTATGATTAAAAATTTTCAAGGCTAATATGAATGATTATTCTTCTTGATGCACGCGTATAGAAATTAAATGATAGACAATGGGCAGATCCATATACACATTCACAAAGGATGAGAAAACTATTTAGAGAAGAAAAAAAAGAATTCGAAGCAAAAAGAAAAGCGGATGAAGAAATACGAAAAAGAAATTCATTATCGATTACATTATTACCAGAATCAAATGATGATATTATTAAAGCTAAAACAACTGAATTTGCAGGTAATTTTATTTTTTTGGTGCAGGTTAATTTAAATATTAATAAAATAATATTAATATAATATTTTTTATTTCTAAATAAATAAAAAAGATCATTTACTTGAAAAAGCAGTAAAACGTAAATTAGAAATTTCAACATCATCAATATTCAATAAGAATAATAAGAAATTAATATCATCATCATCATTATCATCAAAATCAAAAAAATATAAATCTATTTTCGATAATTCAAACAGCAAAGTTGCACAATTATCAGCAGTAGTAACTGTAAATACAAAACTTAAAACTGATCCTTTTTTAAAAGATAATGATTGGAATAATAGTAAAAATGGTGGCAGCAACAATAATGATAATAATAATAATAGTAGTAAAGAAATTCAAAATGATTTAATTGTTATAAAGAAGAAAGACAACAAGAAATCATCAAATAATAATAATATCGAAGAAAAATCAAAAACTGTTGAAAATCAACAACAACAACAAATAGATAATTCTAACAATAGTGAAGGTATTAATTATTGTTGTTATTTAATATTATAATATTATATCAATAAAATATTGATTAAGTATTTTATTCGATTTTATAGTGAAATCTACAACAATTTCATTAGTTAGTCCTGATTATTATGAAGAAGATGAGGATGAAAATGAAGATGACGAATAATTAATAAAATTATTGCAAAATACATTGTTTTATTATGCAAGTGGTTGTCCTGTTTTAAAGAATGGTTTACCAGCTTTATGACTATTTTTTAGATTAAAGAAATTATTATTATAATTATTATAATTATTATAATTAAAATGAATATTATTAATCTTTGCTATTGTACTTACAATTGCCACATTCCAGCTAAAAATAACAATCAATTAAATTATTAAATTGTAAATATAAATTTAAAAATTCCTAAAAAAAATTATTTAAAAGTTTTCTTACCAATAAATGGTAAAGAAAAACCAGTTCCAAAGAATAGTGTCATTTTAATGGCTAAACCAGTTTTACTTTTTGTACTAAAAGGAAGATGCTAAAAATAAAATTATTAGATGATTTTATTACTATTATTATTAAAAAGAATAAAAACGATTCTTTTACTTACATAACCATCTTCATTCTCAAAATGATAATACGAAGATTTACGTACTCCTGTACGAGGAAATCTAACAGCTTGGGTTCGAACGGCAGGGGAACGAGCTAGCACTTTTGTAAGAACCATTATGATTTTTTTTTTTGAGGAGTTGTGGATAAAAAAATTTATTGTATAAAATTGAACACAAAAAAATGAACATAGTAGTGATAATCCCACGAAAGTTTTAATTAACGAATTAACAAAAGAATACAAGTCAATCAAATAGTGCAACGTACGTTGGAACCAGTTATAAAAGAT